ATTCTTTTCATATTAGATACACGACGTTTCAATATAGAATTTTGTTCATCAAGATCTTTTATTTGAGTACGAATATTACGAGGAATAAAATCACCAAATTCCATTCTTAATTCATTAATCTTATTAATGTTTTTATTTATCATTTCTCTATTTTCACGAACTAAATCTTCAACTGTAACAAATCGTTCGGCGTTTTGTTTATATTTATTAATTGCTGATTCTAAACGTTCAATATGATGAACATTTTTAAGATTATCTTGCTGAGCACGCAAAATAGCTTTATACAGATTTTTATTATCATCATCAATCCTTTTTTGTTGTTTACCAATATTTTTAAAAAATCCACCGTCATCACCCAATCGTTTATCTAATTCCCTATTAACTATATTTTGAAGAGATTCATCTGGAATTGGTGGATTATAAGGTCTTCCACCAAATTGATAAAACTGCTGTTCATTATCAATGGGTTGTTTATCATATTGTCTAGAAACATACCTACCAGCACTATTATAATATCTTTTATATCGTTTATTATAATTGTATTGTCTTCTTCTTCGTTTAAACATCAAATAACTAATTAAAGTTCAATAATCAATTAAAGATTAACATTATGTTCTGGTAAACCATCATTTGGTAATACTAAACCACCATTGGAATATGCATTATTAGCAGCATCATAAACAGTTTCAGGATTAATTGATGGAGCAGAACTGTTATCAATTGCTCCAACTAAAATGTACGGAGGTTGTGCATTAGGAACATTATTAGGTACAACAAGTCCATTGTTATTACGAGCATAACCAATAAAACCAATATAAGGTTTAAAAGAATTGTCTTCAGAAACAAGTACTTTCCTAAGACCTCTCAATGTAACATCAAATTGCCAATGAATAGTAAGAGTACAAGAATTAACAGCATTAACAGATTGAGGAGTTTTTATAGAAATTAATAATTGAGGATTCCATGCACTATACATATTATCCATACTGAGTACATCTCTAGTATTAGTTGTGGTAAATACATAGACTTC